GAGGATTACTTCATGTATAGGTACGTCACGTTTTTTTCTATAAAGTTGCCTTTATCGAAAAGACATTCCGAATTAGGGCCCGTTCATATATTACGGCAACAAATTATAGGGTGGAGGAGGTCGAACAAATGTTAACGATTATTGAGGGGGGAGGGGGTAAGGGGTTTGAGTCTGTTGGCGTTAGGGCATCCAGAATCGGAAAATTTTGTAAAACCGGTTTTCGATTTTTGGATTTTGAAAAACTTTCGTAAAACCGGTTTTCGATTTTTCCGGTTTTTTAAATCTTCGTAAAACCGGTTTTAGATTTTCTCCAAAACCGGTTTCAAACCTGTTTTCAAACCGGTTTTCTACAAAATTTTTAAAATGTGTTAAATATAATGTGGTAAAATTTAAACTTGAACAAACTTTTGGCATTAATTTGGAAAAAAATATTTCAGTACAATTTATTTTTGCATGACAAACAAGAAATAACTAATATTTTGTGGTTCTGAAACAATTTTAATCAAAAATCGAATACCGTTTTTTACAAAACAGTTTTTTAAAATCATAAAACCGGTTTTCGGGTAAATCGAAAATCGTTTTTTAACCTGTCTTACAAAATCGGAAAAACCGGTTTTGGGTGCCCTAGTTGACGTCGACTTTTGTTATTTTAGCGAAATTGGATTTTTTGCTCCATTATAGGCAATTTTTCCCGGAGCTTGACACACTTCAATTTACTCACTCAAATTGTCTATATTTAATATTTGTTCACAATTTCCCCCAGGAAATCAAATATTTTAATTCAAATGAAAATGCAATTGTATTGCATATTCGAACACAACTTTTTCACTCGTTTCCCTATTATCAAAAAAGGGTGGTCTAAAAATTTTTGACTTTTGCTCGACATACTTTATTGATGTCCCTTAATCCATCCGACGAAGTATTGAACGTTACTGAGTCAGTAAATGTAAAACAGTACAATACAGTCTATTATCCCGCACTAAATGTGTAAAGAGAATTTGCTCATTATTCGTGGGAAAATATTTATCTATAGCTAATGTTAATCATAATTTCAAGTTTCCCACCTTGACCCAGGCGTTCTCTCCATGCGACTAGGAAGGGCATCGCTTTCTCGGATCACGTCTTCATCACGGGAGATAAGGCCTTTAATTTTCTAACCTGTTGGTCCGAATCAAAGTACAATTTTAGAATTTACGTTACACCATTTCATTCAGCATTGTGGATTTGCCTGCTGTCTACCTTTATAATGATGACACTGCTCCTAACCATGTATCTACGCAGCATACAAGCTGAACCGCTGGTTTCCACTTGGACACTTTTCTTCAGTAACTTTGTCGGCCAGGCGTACAGCCTTGTAGGGGAGGTGGGCACGAGATTAGTCGTCAGGATTGGATTAGGGTCATGGTTTTTGGTCTGTGTCATATTCACACAAGGTTATCCAATAGAAACTCCTTAATAAATTTGACACACAAGTAACTAACTTTTGAACATATTGTAGGGTATATTGGAGTTCTTCTCAATTACGTTTGTGCGCCACTTCCTCAAATAAGCGTAAGCTATTTTGATGATGTAGCAACACCTGTTTGCAACTACCGACAAAATAACCCCAATTATCAATCAGTAAAAAAATGTCCGCCGAATCTTTGGTACAACGCATCCCTTTATGTGGAAAACGCATATCATGAATTAAACTCTGAATCTGAGTTTAGGCTAATGTCACCACCAGATCATGCAGTCTATATTGATTACATGGATAGCCTTGTGTCAACTGTAGGTCCAAATATTGTGACTAAATATGTTTCCGAAGTAAGACAGTTGGGAATGCACTTAACTAATTTTGCAAAAGCATTGGCCGATTTCGCAGCAGAGAGACACTTTGGCTATACTGCAGGCCGTCCAAGGTTTGATTCAATTCGACCATCCAGTTCAGCCAAGGGTCAAAATTTAGGAATATCATTTCGATCAACCACGCCAACCAGTTCAGTATGGATTCAAAAATTAGCAGTAATGAGCAGTTACATGATCCTCTAAAAAATATATTTCATAGATTTTACGTCCAACGTACTTTTATGTAACAGCAATCCCCGGATACCTACGATGATATATTAGCATTCAGCTTACAGCACCCGTATGAGCGTGAATATCTTCCTGATGGATGGTTAAGCCTACTAAAAAATCGAGCTCGATTTGAAGAAATGCTGGAGCAAGAATTAGTCAAATGTGATAGGACTGCATGGGTGGACAATACACTACCGTTAAAGCAATATTTCGATTACCTGTCAAGGTTAGAAGTACCTAAATAGTTCCGAAGAGAAATAATGAATTAATATTTAATTGCAGGCACTATTACTGGATAAACTTTTTTATCGGAAAGCGTCCAATTCTCGGACGCCTTACATCCTTCCAGCTACACAACACAGGCGTATCAAACTTGGGCCGTATAATTAGCGCCTTCTTGGAGAGTGGGTGTTATGACTACTTTAAAATAAATTCGTCACGGTCAGGCGCCCTATCCGCTAAAATGAAGAATCATACTAAATTTATTATGGCCAAGATGCGTCCTCCGGCGCGCGTTAAATCTATGAACCTCTCTCAATCAATTTCGACCGTATTTATAATCTTTTGTGGTATGCTTCTTTTCACAATTTTGGTGCATATGGTTTCAGTGATTTATTTTTATCGGTTTGAAATATTGAATAATTTGGCTATAACGGTTGGAAAGTTCACCTTAGTTTGTGGGTTATGGTCGAGTCAAGTTTATTTATTCGTATGTTTAAGCATACGTATACTTAAAAAATTAGGTACGTATATTCTAGAATTGTATATGCAACAATAAAGTTACTATGCACGTAATAAAGATGATTCGCCAGCTAGTGTGTAAGTGCCTATTTAAAGGGTGTTAATAAAGTCCGATCCCATTTTTCCTATAAAAAGTGAAGGCTAGTATAAAAAAAACTACCCGTGATACTTACAAAAAATGTTCGACATATTTACCTTAGTATTTGGTCTTGTTACCATTTACTTTAACCATGCCCTCAACTCTTTGTTTAAGGCTCTGTGCTAATTTTTCCAATGTGTCTGTGGGAATCGAATTCCATACATCTTGAACTTTTTTTACTAGCTCTTCCCTCGTCCGGGGTTGTGGTTCTTTGTATACATTTTCCTTAAGTATGGACCACAGGTTCTCCAGGGGATTCAAATCTGGGCTGTTTCCGGGCCACACCCCCTTGCTCCAGACCGTTGAAACTTGCGTCTTGATGAGACTCAAACTCGCTTTTGCTGTATGGGCTGTAGCACCATCCTGCATGAAAACTATTTTTCTTTCATTCGGAAATATTTCCTTGTTCCCCATGCTATCGAAATAGATAGGTAATATTTTTTCCATATAATACTTTGCATTGACTGTTTGGCCTTTTGGTATGATATGTAGAGGAGTCACGCCACGTGCACAAAATCCACCCGCTACCATAACTTTAAGCCCGAATTTTGGGACTGCTCTTGATGGTACATCCGATTTGTTTTCTGTCCTGTAACGAACATTTTGTTGGTTCAATTTTGGATATAGCTCAATAATAGATTCGTCAGTCCAAAGGATGTGACTGCGCAATTCTTCACCAAGTCTTTTTTCACTCAAATGGCCACTTTTCTGAAGGAGTTCTCCAAATTTCAGACGGTCATCGATATTTTTTTGTGACATGAGAGGTTTTTTGGTTAGTTTGTAAGCTGTGTGACCCCACCTCGTAGATTTCACAAATTTTTGCACGGTCACATAGTTAATTTGCTTCTTCTTCTCTTTATAGCGTTTTGAGTCATTTAACTCCCTTGCACAATTACGTAATGAACTACCGGTTTTCTTGTAAAGTCTGTTTTTAATCATTCTCTTTGTGGTAGGTGACACCTTTCTGGGTCGCCCGGGTCGCTTTTTGTCGTGGACAAAATTTTTGTTCTTCCATTTCCAAACAGTTCTGCGGCTGCAGCCCAATTTTTGCACAATTTCTGCAGGTTTAAACCCCTGCTGATGCAATGTTTGTATCTTAACTCTAAGATGCTCATGACTTACACGTTTAGTTGTTCCTCCCATGGTAAAAATTTGAAATAAATAACTTCACTGGTTCAAAAGTTCCAGCTGAATTTGTAACAACCGCGCTCCAAAAAATTCATGGGATCGGACTTTATTAACACCCTTTATGTAAGTGCCAGATTAAGAGAATGATTAATTTGGTCACAACGTTGGAAAAGTAAGTTTGTAGGAGCTTTGCCGTTATACGAACTCAGTGGTCCCGAAAAGAATGGACATGGTCCGGGACAATGTATTGATTAGTATGTTTAATAATATTAAATTACACATATTTGCTGCCTCGCTTAAATGTCTCAGATTTGGGTATTATATCCCGGGTGTTTTGGTTATTGGAATTTTGCGGGTTTTGGTGGTCTTGTTATCCCCAAGGGTAGAAGGGTAGGTAGGTTTCTTATATATATAAGAAATGTCCACGTGTAGTGGGGGATTTCAAATTAATTTTAGTGCTATCAGGGCTTTTAATGCAATTTTACAAATTAATTACTTATTAACATTGAATTACAAGCGGCATCACTCAGAAATTCCTAAAAATGCAGATTGTTTGTTGAGGTGGGACGAAAAAAATATCACGCGTCTTGTTACCATAGACAAATTTATTACATTTATCTCAAGTATGAGTCTGGTGCAACCCTAGTTTTGCAAATAATCTCCCCAACTTAGCCAACTAAGAATAAAAATACTGTGCAATCGCTGACACACATCCGTTTCTTTTTAATGTGCATTTAAACAGTCAACCTACCACCCACCCCGAAAGCGCATTGACTTGAGATAATTGTCTAAATTGACTTAATTGACTTGACTCAAATTGAATTCATTCTTCTCGTCCTCATCTATTTATCTATCTACTACGCATCACACAAATTTACGTCATGCATCAATTATTTAATACCATACGTAGAATAAGCTGCATCAAAAATAAATTCTTCTCACTGCTTCTGGACCAGGAGTACATATTTATAAGACGACTGTTCCAATCGCCAGTTCACTCACCATACACATACATATTTCGCATACTCAAGTGTTACCAGTTACCAATATTTCCTTCTGAAATTATGAATTTCTTGTTTTTCATTTTCAAATACTTTGTACTCACGGGTGCCCTACTTGCTATGGTAAGATGTATTTTTTATATAATGATACCGTCAGACTTATAATTATCCTACCGGGGTTTGGTCTAGCCTATGCAAAAAAAATGTATGGGATCTGAATTGTAAATTTTTACCCAGAAATATTCTGCATAGATTCCACTCAGTTTTTGAATAAGATCAAAAACAGAATAAGATAATTGGATAAGATACTACTGGTAGAACTACCAGTAGTATCTTATCCACTTTCAACTTTGAAAAAACAAACTTTTTCGTAAAAATGGTGACCCTTGGCATTTTTGACATTAATCTGAAAAAGAACGACAACCACAACCTAAATTATGCAAACAGGTAAATTCTAGTCAGAATCAAGATGTTAAGCACCTTTAAGATAAGCCAGGTGAAAAAACGGTTGCATAATTATGAGACTTACTGTACGTTCAACATCGAAAAAATACATCCTTATTTTCTCACAGAAACCTTCCTATTCAGAAGCTTTAACTGGTGGGGTTGCTCGTCAAGATATTCAATATCAGCATACAACTCAACTCAACAAAATCACTACCATATTGGAGTTCTTGCAATCGAAAATGCCGCAATTACAGTCAAAATTGGATATATTGTTAAGTAGAAAGGCAACAGCGCAATTGCCACCTGCCATTACGACACAGCGTCCAAGCACAATTAAACCGACGGTGATAATCCCAGACAACAATGCAGAAAGACTTCTAGCTGAAAGTGGTCGAAATGGAACCTACAACGGAGAGGGGTTCGTTCACTGGAACAATGCGACTTTTCCAGCAAATCAGCCCAATAACTCGACACCTACAGTGCGACCACTCCGGTCATTTCGAGCAAACAATAATCAAACATATTCACCGATGACGACACAAACGTCGACAACTTGAACAATTTAAAGTTAAATTGGGAGAATTATTGTTCACAGACATTATGAATGTAGAATTAAGAAGAAAAAACTTTATTGTTTTTAAAATTGATGTCATGCTTTTCATTTCGATTGCGATCGTCATCAGGACGGAAAATATTGCTTTACAGATAAAGTTAAATTTATACATATTATCAACTAATATTAAACTTTTAACCAAAAAATCGACCCATTATGTAATTTATGTATGGATAACTTCACTCCTTAATTATCGGGAATATTTCCCATGTAACGCAATCAATTAAATTTTCCAACCTTTTTAGAACTCGAAAAAATGACTGTTCCAAAGCGTTTCCAAAACTGCATTTTTTTAAATTTCAGAATATTGTTAAAACACTCCAGAATTGTTAATTGTTCATAGAATTTTATGTGGGTGGTATGACAATTTTTGGCATCTATGTGGCTTTCATAAATATCTCATAAATCTCCCAAAATTTTGTTAACTCATTCCATACCAGGTGGATTTGTACAAAAAAAGCGTGAGTAACGTATATTTTTTGTTAAATGGAATTTTATATATCACAATAGTTGAAATGTTTTCAGGTTTATTATTTTAGCAATTAGATGAGACATTACTGAAATTGCTACCAGTGCCAAAGGTATTAAAGGTCAAAATCGTTATCACGGAGACGCCCTACTCTCTGTAGAGACCCGGCAACAATTTTGAAATCTTGGTCTCTAGACCCGGCTATATTTGGATCTAGACCGGCTATAATTAGAATAGGGCTATAAATACGGTATGTACGGTATGTTTATACATTATATATCTTGGCTAGTATGTCTAGCTGAATTTAAGTGAGGATTATGAACGTTTGGAAAAAGCTTAGCTAACTTTATGGTAATTTTATTATAAGCAGCTTCAGTTACTGGATAGGTAATTTCCAGTCTGACAATTTGTGAAATTGGCGTACCACAATTCGGGAACATGACATCAACCACTTTCACACAGTAGGGATCCATATCCGGCAAGCTGACCTGTTCCATGGTATACTCAAAGTGGCGAAGGTAAGGAAGACAAGTCCTTAAAGTTTCGTCTTTCTAAAAATTACCAAACTATTAGCAAGTTTTATAACTTACAAGGGAACCTCAAAAACTGTCCCACCTCGATTTCCTTTGGAATAGCCTTAATCGACAGATAATTTAGTGAAACTAAAACCTTTTCATAGAACATGCGGTGCAAAATCGCGTTTTCGTGAAATTTTTGCAAATTTTTTGCAATAAGAAAATTGTATTTTACATTAGTAAGACTTGTACATTTTGTTGCATTTAAAGGAACGAAGAATTCAAATATGCAAACATTTGCCATTTTTTGCAAATTGCGACAATCGGAAAAATTTCGCAAATTTGAATTCTTCTTTCCTTGAAATGCAACAAAATTTAGAAAATTTACTAATGCAAAATACAATTTTATTATTGCAAAAAATTTGCAAAAATTTCGCGAAAACGCGATTTTGCACCGAATGTTCTATGACAAAGTTTTAGTTTCACTAAAGTATCTGTCGATTAAGGCTATTCCGAAGGAAATCGAGATCGAACAGTAGTTGAGGTTCCCTTGTTAACAATATTTTGAGCTAATTTAATCTGCCCAAAATGTATGTACCTTAAAGAGGTCAATAATTTTGAATAAGTTCATTGTCATCTTAGACTTTTCCTGTATATGCTGCTCATATTTACAAAACTGATCCTGAAGATCCTGGTCGTTTCCTTGGTATACTGTAAGTATTATTATAAAAATTGCACTTATTTGTGCAGGCACAGTGGTTAAAAATATATGTACGAGGCGAAAATTCTCTAGCAATAATTTCTGCTGTACAGTAATTATGTAATCTCTTCTCTTCTCTATATTATAAGCTGGGAATGTTTGTCTGTAACGGAAGTGAACGTAATTTTCCGTGACGGAAGTGAAAGTGGAGAAAGTTTCACTTCCTTTGCCAACAGAAATTTACAGTTAATAATATGGATAATATGGAAAATATTTCCACAATAATTGAAAATAATTGAACAATCCTACTTAATTTTCACCACAATCAAATAAGCCCGTCTCCTGCCGGGAGACGGGCTACGGTTACCACGGTTAGCAGACGTGGGGGCCCCTGATGTGGCGGAGCCCTTAATTCTTGCCTATATGCTAACTGCGCCACTCAAAAAATAGGCAGTCCGACGGACCACAGGAATTCAACATGCAAGCTAATACTGAATTTCGCTTGTAATGCATAGCGTCGTCGGACAGGTGGCGCTAGAACACGTCCCACAAATCTCACTATGAAATAAATCCATTAGCATTACTCACCTGGAAACATATCTCGTATAATCAGCTCCTTCACTCGCGGTAGTTGTGGAAGCCTCAAATAAGTAACGTACTTGACTAACCACAACAGGTTTCTTTGAATCTATCCAAAAGTTGAAGCACAAACTCCCCACTAAACTTGAGATAGACTTTCTTGAGCCTTACGTTTAATTTCAGAACGGCTGTGTGATGCTCCTTCGTGGATTTATAAAAATTCATCGTGTCCTCCGGACTTCCAAGGGTTTCCAATTTGCATAAAGCTTTTTGGCTAGCATCGTCCGTAACCAGTTTGATTCCCTTCGTGAAGTGGTTAACTTTTCCATCATACGTGAGGGTTTTTAGATTAACTGCTTTTCTAAAAATGCTTGGAAGCAGGATGAGGAGCTTGGCTCGTGTATCTTTTCCGCTGTGCGAGACTCTAAAATTTAGCTCTTGAAGGAATGCCCAATTTACTAGCCCCTCAGTGGGGAATGAGTTGACGTCCAAGTCGTCTTCCATTGAAATATGGAGGTGTATGGTGAGGGATGTGACTTAATACATGGTGAAAAAAGGAATAGATTTGTTTTGGAGGAGTTTCCGTATGTCCTTCTAATCGTACAATGGAGGTTTTAGAGCGTATGCTCGCAGATTTGGACAAATCCATCACAAATTTAATTAGTTCCAAATTTGCAAATGGAACTATGTATCTGCCAATGCGCAGGTTCGGCGGAGACATTGGCATAAAAATATGAGAAAATGCTCCCCTAAGGCTGGCAAATCTTCTATATTATCAGCTGAAAATGTCTGTCTGCAACGGAAGTGAAAGTAATTTTCCGTGACGGAAGTGAAAGTAATTTTCCGTGACGGAAGTGAAAGTAATTTTCCGTGACGGAAGCGAAAGTAATTTTCCGTGACGGAAGTGAAAGTGGGGAAGTTTTCCCTTACCAACAGACATTTCCAGCGTATAATATAGATACAATAATTCGGTGGAATTATGAACAATCTGGTTTAATTTTCATGAAAATCAAATAAGCCCGTCGTCCAGCGGGAGACTGGCTTATCCGCTAGTCTACATTATAAGCTGTAAATGTTTGTCTGCAACGGAAGTGAAAGTAATTTTCCGTGACGGAAGTAAAACTAGAGAAAGTTTCACTTCCCTCGCCAACAGACATTTCTGGCTAATTATAAAAGTAAAAAAATGATTCGCTGGAATTATGAAGAATCCGATTTAATTTTCACGAAAAGCAAAATAATAAGCTCTCGCCCGGCGGGAGACGGGCTTATACACTAGTTTTTCATATTTTTAATTTGCTCCGCATTTTTCCCCTTTTGGATGTAACTATCTTCGCCAAACCGGCGCATTGGCAGATAGTTCCATGTGCAAATTTTATGCTAATTAGATTTGTTGTAGATTGTTTAACCCAAATCTTTGAGCATACGTTGGGAGATCTCCATTGTCAGTCGGCTAACGTGGGATCCGTGAGTTAGGAAAAAATTGGAAATATGACTCATAAAAGTTTGCACCGAGTCACGTGGCAATTTTCCTTTCCTACAATTAAACATTTTTGTGGAAATGGTAAAGTTTCGGTGCATGTATTGAGGATAAAGGTCAAAATATTGGGATAGCTCGGGTCCGCAGGATCGATCGGATAAATTGAATTTTATAACATCCAAATTTCGATAACGGTTAGAGGACCAATTCAGCCAGTCGGAATTTACTTGACGAGTTAATTTTACACACGAGAGGTTAAAATGGGCCCATATTTTTTCGATAATCTGTAATTGAAACAAAAAAATATACTTACACACCTAAATTGAATTTCCTCCACTCCGGTTCCAATTTGCCACTTGGTTGACCTTTCATGCATAACTAACAATAAGCACATATTTTGTTGACATGACCGTCAGTAAGACAGTTTAGGTAATAAATTGTCGTTTATTTGTGACAGATAATAACCATAATTATCATTTCCAAAAGTAATTGCATCTATGTACATACATGCATTTCGCAGGACCTAATGACGACCCTATAGAGATCCCGTACTATATAGTGGCGATGGAGAACTTTGATCTAAAAATGGTCAAAAAATGATTCTAGAAATCTTAAATTTTGGTATGATATCCTAAATATATCTAGTCATAGACATTCGCGAACAAAAAACACTGAAGTCCATTGTCCATCTCGTATTTAACATTTTTCATCACACCCGCCATTACTGCTTTTTCGGAAGACTTTGCAACTTAATGGGTAATTATATCCAACCTGAATCCAAATTTTCTTAAAGTTTCGACTGTTTCACAATGCTGGGAGTATGTCTTCTTGCAAATGGCCACATTTTTTTTATTGCGTGAAGATAAGGGTTGAATGTGAGGTTTTAATTTTTCAACTCCAAACTGTCATTTTTGTCAATTTTTTCGTTAACAGTTATTTCGTAGTGGATGGTCGCAAGGTCGGGCCAAGAAATTACAGTCTATATTTTTTGATACTTCTTGATGAAAGAAATCCGACGGTCTATCACACATTTCCGAAAATAAACTTGTTTGCTCATGCACCCATCTTGAACTTAGGGGTCCGAAATATGCCCAAATTGGCCGTAGTATTACCAGTATTTAATACTACTAATTAATTTAACTTAAGTTTTACTCTATATTAACTTATTGTTTAATTTATTTTTAATTTATTTTCAGGGTGTCCTCTTCGGATGGAGGGTGACTTGGAATCCCTGTCCCGACGCCCCGCTGCTCCACTGACCGCCGAGGACTTCGAGGAACCTCCAGAATTTGATGAAGATGGTGTACCCATTGACGCTTGGATGGACAACGCAACCGTGATTGCTCCCGTGAGATCTCCTCCCCTGCCCACTGTTGCTGGTTCATCCGTACCTCATGCCGCGGCCGTGACTCCAGTTATCATTCCTGTTGGTGTGGACGCTCCCATCATTGCTGAGATGGATGTAGATGGAGATGCATCGTCGTGGTCTTCGGATTCCTGGTCAACAGCCTCTTGGAACGATGTTCCATATGAGTGCACGCAATGTGGCGAGTACATTTCCTTATCTTTCTTCGGTAGTAGTTTCATATCACGCGACTTTGCATAATAGTAAACTTACGTTCATTCAATCTTGATTTGTATATTTTCAGCGTTCCAGTCCACTGAGTACGACGAGATGCGACTTCATGATGAAGCCTATCATCCTTTGACGTATTCCTGTATGCTTTGCAATAGGACCAGCGCCGATCGTGAGGAGATCTATGATCATATCGCATCTTATCATCGTGTTCGTTCTCACCAGCAAACATACATTTCTCCGTACTAGTTTTAGTTAGATTTAGTTACGATTTTGTACGGTTATGATTTGGTTACGCTTAAATGGATAGTCCACTGTTTTTGTTCAAATTATTGTACTTCTTGTGATATTACAATGCTAAACTCTTGTAGTAAAATTGAGAACATATTTATTTAACTTATTTCCTTTTTGCTTGTGTCCATCCTCAATTTATTTGCATAAATTTTAACTTGCACTTATTTTTTCTCATACTCTTCATCCTATTTTTTCATCATTTCATATATCACCAAATTTTGACTCATAAATTTGTTCTCATCAGCTCATCTTAACCTTCTAGTTACTTGCACCATTTCAGTTTCATTTAATTTGCACAATTTCTCTAACACTTATAAATTCTATAAAAAATGCAACCACTAGTGCACAAGCCCGTTTCCTCCAGGGGACAAATTGACATATACATCCACTAGTGTCTAAGCCCGTCCAACTTCGGTGGAATATTGACCATGCATTCACTAGTTGTATAAGCCCGTCCAACTTGGGGTCGCATATGTTCATACTGCTTATACAGAGGGTGATGCATCAGTTTCTTCTGTTGAGATTCTTTCAGAATTTTCTTCTTTTGTGTTTGTCGTGTCAACTGGTAGCAAACAAATTTTTACAATTGGTCTTTTTAGTTCTCCACTGGCTGTCTTAACTGTCACTGTACGAATCTGTTGATCCTCTCCAGGATGTAATTTAATTATCCGACCAAGACTCCATTTCAACGGCGGTGTATTATCATCTTTAATAATTACGAGAGATCCTAATTTAATTGAAGGGACCGGGACTAGCCATTTTTGACGAGCTTGCATTCTTGTAAGATATTCTGCGGACCAGCGTTTCCAAAATTGTTGTAGCATATTTTGTATTAATTGCCATCGGATCAATCTTGAAACTGGTACTTCACTTAAATCTGAATCTGGTACTGAGGTCAAGGCTTGTCCTATAAGAAAATGACCTGAGGTCAATGCTCGTAAATCTGTAGGGTCTGTTGATTCTGGTGTAAGCGGTCTTGAATTTAACACTGCTTCAATCTGACACGTAAGCGTGCTTAATTCTTCGAACGTTAACCTCTGCAGTCCCATAATTCTTTTTAAATGGAACTTAGTAGACTTGACTCCACTCTCCCATAGACCTCCAAAATGAGGAGCCGCTGGAGGATTAAAGTGCCAAGTAATTCCTTCCTCTGACAATGTATTGAATACCTTTTGATTATGTTCGTTTGATTTTGACAATTTGATGAACTCTTTCAGCTGTTTCTCAGCACCCACGAAATTTGTTCCATTGTCGCTGTAAATATCTGCAGGCTTTCCCCTCCTTGCCACAAACCTTCTTAATGCTGCTAAAAATGCCTGGGTAGTGGCATCACTAACTACTTCAAGATGAATGGCTCGGGTCGTGCAACATATAAATATACATAGATAGGCCTTTAAAGTAATTTTACTTCTTGGCGAGATTGGTCTGATTAGATATGGACCCGCGTAGTCTAAACCAGTATGTTTAAACGCTTTTGAGGGGTTTACTCTAAAGGCTGGCAGATTTGCCATAATCTGCTGTAAGGTTTCTGCCCTTAGCCTTGTACACATGATACACTTCCGAATTACTTTTCTAATAACATCTTTTCCACGAACAATCCAATATTTTTGTTGTAAAAAAGATAACAGCACTTGAGGTGCACCATGCAAGTTTGATAAATGAGCATTTTCAATGATGAGGTATGTTACCCTGTGATATTGTGGGAGAAGAATTGGATATTTTTGATCTGTAGGCATCTCAGCGTGTTTAAGCCTTCCGCCTACGCGAAGAATATGGTCCTTATCCAGAAATGGATTTAATGGTAACAGTCTGCTTTTTGTAGATAACTTCTCCTTATTTTGTAACTGCAGGATTTCTTGAGTGAATTCTTGCTGTTGCGCGATACTTATCCACTTTTTTAAAGCACCATCCAATTCAGTAGTCGATATTCCACATGATAATATTTTTTCACTCACTTGGCCTTGTTTAGTCTTCAGTGAGCATAAACAATTATTCTAGAATCGTAGTAACAAAGCTGTGATTCGTTGCAATTTGGTAATGGATGAATATCTAAGCAATAACTCATTTTGTACTTTGATAGCTGTCATCTGACACACAATATTTTCACGTTTTTCTTCCTTTGGATCGGATACCTGATGAAACTCTTCTGGAACTTCTGGTTTAGGAATGCTTTCCACTAGCCAGTTAGGTCCATTCCACCACAATTGATGATTTATCAGTTCTTTGACAGTAATTCCACGAGAGGCACAGTCTGCGGGATTTTCTACACCACGAACAAATCCCCAATATTCTGCTGGTAAATTTTCTTGAATTTTTGAGATGCGATTAGCTACAAATGTATGATACTTGTATGGCTCCGACCTTATCCAACGTAGCACTAACGTAGAATCTGTATAAGCTATCATGCTTTTGAAGTGAATTTTTAGTGCCTTTGCGATTTGTGGCATAAATTCTGACAGAAGTAGAGCTCCACAGAGTTCTAATCTCGGTAGGGATTGCTTCTGCAGGGGCGCAACTCTCGTCTTAGATGCTATTAAATACGACAATCCATATCCATGAGCATCATACGATACAAGATATACCACAGCCGAGTATGCCTCTTCAGAGGCGTCGCTAAATCCAATTAAATACGTGATATTTTGTTTTTTACTTGCATGGCCTGTTTGAGACCGCGGAATTTTGAGTAATTTCAAATCTTGCAATCCGATTTTGAACTGGTTCCATGTATTTTGGATCTTTTCGGGAACAATCTGGTCCCATTCAGTCCTCAATTTCCATGTAGATTTCATTAATATTTTTGCCTTGATGAAGACCGGCGCACACCAACCGATGGGATCAAAAAGCTTGGAGATTTCTGATAAAATAACTCGTTTCGTTAATGAAGTTGTTGTCGAATTATTACATATATCAGTTTTAAATCCAAATGAATCTTCAACTGGATTCCAGTAGATCCCAAGAGTTTTTATGGTGGCATCTTTGTCGAAAGTCGTGCTTTGCAGTTTGCAAATTTATTTATATTATTTTTTATTTTTACACAGGCCGTCGCTATTAATGGGTAGCAATCTTCATGTGTATCTTCTTGATTTTCTAGTCAACCCGAATTGGTGTAGAACAGACTCGATGTTCCATTACTTCCTGCGGACGAGTTATTTTCACTCATCCCCTGGGTGTGAAACACATGGCTTGTTCTCTCTGGTTGCTGTTCATTTTGTTGCTGATTTAAAGCCTGACGTTCAAACGGCCTCTCTCTACGATGATTCGTTGGATTCTGACGATCATTTCTTTGATTGTCCATAGAATTGTTTTGCAGTAAATAATTATGTGGCTGATTACACTTTTTGCATTTAAATGCACTGTCACATGCGTTGCCATGCTTTGGAACTAGGCACGTATAACAGAGTTTCTTATTTTTTACAATGGCCCAGCGCTCTTGTACTGATGCTACTTTAAATTTTTCACATGGATACATTTGGTGACTCTGCTTGCTACCTAATTGACACTTGGATTGTTTTGGCACATTCGTTTTGGTATGCAATACAGTGGTCTTTTTCTCATGGGTCGGCTTGTGCTGTAACGTATGGTCTTCTAATGCAGTCGCATGACGTTCTAAAAATTCACATATCTGAATATTTTGGAATATCCTTGTCCTTCACAGTATGTTCCCACAGGTCTCTGGCATTAGAATCCAACTTATTGATCATTTGATGCACGTAAACGATTTCCATGGTATTCTCAATAGAGAACCCTAATTGTTCTAGTGATCGAATACATCTATTTGTCCCATCAATAAGTGATTTGATGGATTTTGCAGAACCATTACTGCGAGACTGAGTAAAGTAGCGATCCAAAATTGCTGTCGTAATTTTTCTTCTATTTTGATACCGCTCATGTAACTGAATCCAGGCCAAGTCGTAGTTGGCTTCTGTTAGTGTCAAATCTGCTGTGAATCTAGCGGCTTCGCCTTTCAACAAAGACTTCAAATAGGTAAATTTTTGAACTTTGGACAAACTTGGATTCGTATGAATTGCAGCTTCAAACGTATCTTTGAACGTGGTCCAGTCCAAACACTCCCCGTGAAATTGTTGAATTTCAAATTTAGGAAGGCGCATAGCTTGTACAGGAGGCGCTCCACCTGTCGGAGTAGCAGTTGCAGTTCCCCCCACGGGCATAAGAGACGTTATAATGGCACGTAACCCACATTGTACTTTTCGCACTGCAGTTAACTGTTCATGATACTCAAGCAAATGATCATCGATATCAGCCGGAGCTAATTCCGACACAGCTAAAAAGTTATCATCCAGTTTCTCCGTGATTTCATCACAGTTTACCATATATTTATGCAACGTTGGTAAATCCAAAAACGGAGTTTTATTATGATAGTCTACTTCTTGCGCAATAAAGCATAACTTTGCCGCAATTCCATTCCTCTCCAACCTTAATTTCTCGGCCTTTGCCATTTTAGAAGAGTTACTGATTTGAAAAAATAGTGGAAAAATTTAAAAAAATGTGCTATCACTATTAACTTCAACTAACTATTCACATTAACTTCAATTCACAACAAAAAATTATTGCAACAATTATAGTTCAAATTTACCTAATTATCACTAATTTTCTCAAGTTCGAACTAATTTAATTTTTATCACACTAAAAAATTCATTGGATCAAATTAAAAATCGATGAATTAATTAATATTTTTCGGTTCACACCTACTTTATTCGCGAGACCATGTTGAGTTTCGTGAGAAACTGTGATAAGTGTTTTTTGTGTAATTTGTATTTGTGAGGATGGATTTTATGTGAATAATTAAACTGTGTACGAAAAGGTTAATATTTATAATAATGTAACGATTATTGCTTTATTTACACTTTTGGCATATTACATACACATATTTAATGCATGCAATAGTTATTATTATTTGGGGTAAATTGATATTTTTGTATTTATAATTAATTATGAGGCAAATTGATACGTGTATATTTATTTTCTCCGTTCCTTCTCATTTGAGGTAACGTGAGATTTAATGAAACGCGCTTGTGCATAACAGCGTTTGCTTTAGCACATAGATTTTTTGGACCTGTTTTGGTGGTGGACCGTTACCGTTTATATACGGAAGGTCGGACGCGAAAGCGCGCTGCTTACGTGACCTGAGTCGCAGTTATTTTGGTCATTCCGAGAATTGACCGTCGCATAAATAATATGCATAAATCTTTCTCTGTTTTTTATGAACAAAGTTGGATGTATTTACATTGTATGCGTTGGTGGGTGACACAAAGCGAGAGTATGAAACTGCTGCATAGCGAGTCGAGCAAGTTTCTCGTGCCATCCATCATACACACATATGCGTTACATACATAATATTTCCTTGCATTTTACCTACAATGCAAATTCTCAACTTCCTCACATCTTCAACTTTTACTTACCTGTTTACATGTTTTTAAACATATTAAACAACAATGACAGGTTTTTAATAGATGAACCATAATAAGGTGAGTTCACTATTAATCTAATTCGTTGGAGTTTTACATATTACTCACCTCATTTGGAAGGAGATCGAATGGATTTTCATTTTTTAGACCAATAAATTCCATACAGTGTTCATTTTGAAATGGGAAAGATTCCATTGTCACTTTAACGTATTTATGTATCCTTTAGAAAATGGAGACGTGTTTGTAGGACTTTCAAAAAAACGATCAATAATTTGCTAACTTGTCAATGAAATTTTACTTAACTACCATATGTTTACTGTAAGGAAAAAGGTTCCCAAGAAGAAATATTCTGCTTACGAAATGGAAGACACACAAATTATGTATGGCAGCATACACAAAGAAACCTGAGGAACCAACGGATAAAAATGCCACAAGTTAGAATATTTAAGTAGGTCAACCTTTTTCCTATTCATGACTTACACATGAATAGCTGACTGGCACAAGGATACGTATGTACAGATTGTATTGAATTCTAATGCACTGTACTAGCGTATAAGCCCGTCTGCCGATGGGCGAGAGTTAATTTAATACTCCAAATTCCACAAAGTATATTTTTTAGATGTTTATTAAAGGAAAGTCTTTGTCTCCAATGGAAGGAAAGCAACGAACATTAAAATGAACATTTAAAAATGGTCCTCAATTAATTTTAATTTGAATTTTCGCGCCATTCAAAACTTAACTTTCTCCACTTTAACTTCCGTAACGGAAAATTACTTTCACTTCCGTTGCAGCCAAACATTTCCACATTATAATATGGATAATAGTTTAGAGGAAACTTATACCCATGCGTACGATAGGTCGGGTTAATGTAGTTAGTTGAAGTTATAGTTCAAGTTAAGAGCATAACTTGACAGGTTTCTCATCTGCCTCGATTATTTTGCCAATAAAAACGGTCTTACAAAGGATACTTTTGAGGTGATAGTCGTATCCAGGGTACCCATTATGTTTTTTAGAATCTACTAGACCCCACATGAAGGGTTCACTCATAAATACATATTTCCGTGTAAAACCCATATTTGCCGCCATGGCGTGGCACCACATTGGGCAAATTTGAATGTTTTTATTTTTTAAATCGCCATAACTTTTGAAATCTTGGACGGATTTTCAAAATCTTTTGCCAAATGGTACAATAGAGTTTAATTAAGTTTTTTTGTATATATAATTAAATTCATAAAACACAATTTATGCATACATAGTCCGACCATAAGTTCCCGTGCATGCATTTCCGGTGATAAAGCCCAAAGTATTAGAGCTATCTGATAGAAATTTTTGTGGATGAACAAGGTATTAATCTTGTTTAGAAATCATAACTTCGTTTTCACAATTTCCTCCACGGGCTTGTACACAAGACATAAGTCGTGGCGAAAACTGCTCGATCGCGGCACGCACGGATTTCCTGGGAAAAGCGCCAGATCTTCAGTAAGTGCGACCTCAGCCCTTCCACACTTGGGTGAAATTTAGAGCATACTTGTACCTATAATTTTCACCACCAGTCATAATTTAGGGGATTAAGGTCTGCAGATACTGAGCACCGTTCTACGGATGAAAAAAAGTCATGAAAATTCGTCTGAAGCCAGTTTTGGACAATTTTGCACCTTGCGCATGAGCAGATTCTTGTTGAAAGGTCCAATGTCGATTTTCGGAGGGTCCAGGGTTCAGGTTATTAACGTTTGGCTTTAGGACACTCTGAAAATAATTCTTGGCTTCAACTTGTACCCTTTGCGGTAAAAAACAGAGATTTCATTTCTCCAGCCAACTTGCTCCCATGCACACCACGGTGATGACTTCGTATTGACTTCCGCATACTTAAACGGATGTCAGACTTCTGTACAACAAATATCTGGCCTTTTTTTCTATTAAATTTTTTGCCAACGGTGAAAAGTCTGAAATACTTTTTGCACGAAAATTGGCGCGTACCACGATCAACCTGTGGCCGTCAAGAGTTATGTCTTGTCTAATTGCCCGTGGACGAAATCTTGACAAAGAAGTTATGATTTCTAAACAATATTAATACCTTGTTAATCCATAAAAATTTCGAACAGATAGCTCTAATACTTTGGGATTTATTACCGGAAATGCATTCACGAGAACTTATGACTCAACTATGTATATATCAGATATATATAGTAGCAAAGGTCAGAATCGATATGTATATGTACTAGCCCCAGTTACAATAAACGATCAAGGGCAGATTTAAACCTTTTCTTCAGATTTATGGAAAAACAACAATGACAAAGGGACTCTATGTACATACATCTATAGCATTGGTTAGATTAGGCTGAGGGTATATAAAAAGGCAAGAT